ATGTTCATCTAACAAGCTGACTTTAGAACAAAACCCTCACATTAGACGTGACCCCACTATATTGGATTTTTAGGACCTAGAATTCCTGATGCCTACAATAGGTGCTCAAAAAGTGAGAACAAAATGAAAAGAATCTAAGCTTTAGCCATTTGGTAAAGTACATGAGTACATTTCTTTTCTTTTTGGTTTTTTTTGAGACAGAGTCTCGCCCTGTCACCCAGGCTGGAGTGCAATGGTGCAATCTTGGCTCACTGCAACTTCTGCCTCCTGGGCTCAAGTGATTCTCCTGCCTTAGCCTCCTGAGAAGCTGGGATTACAAGCGCGTTCCACCACTCCCAGCTAATTTTTGTATTTGTAGTAGAGACAGGGTTTCACCATGTTGCCCAGGCTGGTCTTGAACTCCTGACCTCAGGTGATCCACCCGCCTCAGCCTCCCAAAGTGCTGGGATTACAGGTGTGAGCCACCATGCCCGGCCTCTTTTTTTCTTTTTTCATATTTTAAAGATTAATCAGCACATTTCAATCTTTCCTATGTCTCCAAATTATGAACCTAATGTGAACATTTAGCAGTGTATTTGTTCCCAAATTCAAAGGCTACACAGGAAATTTAATGCAGGAGTACAAGCATTGCCCCTAGAGATGGAAAATGTACTACATTCGTTTTACTGTACAATCTGCAATCATGCATTCTGAGAAATGTGTCGTTACGTGATTCTGTCACTGTGCAAACATCATTGAGTGTAGTTACACACATCTCAATGGTGTAGCCTTCTATACATCTTGGCTGTATGGTACAGCCTATTGTTCCCAGGAAACAAATCTGCACAGCATGTTACTGGAACACTGTAGGCAACTGTAACTCAATGGTAAGTAAATGTGTATCTAAACATAGAAAAGGTACAGTAAAAATACTGTATAAAAGGTAAAAATGGTACATTTGCATAGGACACTTACCATGGACAGAGCTTGCAGGGCTGTAAGTTGCTCTGGGTGAGTCAGTGAGTGAGTGGTAAGTGAATGTGAAGGCCTAGAACATTGCTGTTTACTACTGTAGACTTTACAAACACAATACACTTAGGCTACAATAAATGTATTAAAAAATTGTCTTTCTTCAATAAGAAATTCACCTTAGCTTACTATAACTTTTTAACTTCATAAACTTTTTAATATTTTAAAAGTTTTTGACTCTTTTATAATAACACTTAGCTTAAAACATAAGCACACTGTACAGGCGTACAAAAACATTTTCTTTCTTTATATTCCTTTTCTTTCTTTATATCCTTATTCTTCTATAAGCTTTTTTTATTCTTTAATTTGTTTTTTAGCTTCTTAAACTTGTCTGTTAAAAACAAAGACACAAATACACACATTATCCTACACAGGGTCAGGATCACCAACGTCACTGTCTTCCACCTCCACAGTGTGTCCCACTGGAAGGTCTTCAGGAGCAATAACACGTATGGAGCTCCTATGACAATAACGCCTTCTGGAATATCTCCTGAAGGATCTACCTGAGTTTGTTTTACAGCTAACTTTTTATTTTTATAAGTAGAAGGAGTACACTCCAAATTAACAATAAAAACTATAAGGTATAGCCTGGTAAATAAATAAACCAGTAACATAGTTCCTTATCATGTATTATGTATTGTACATAATTGTATGTCCTTTAACAGGACTGGCTGTGCATAGATTTGTTTACACTATCATCACCACAAACGGGTAGACAATGCATTGTACTATTGTAGCAGGACGAGCTGCAGACAAGAACCCCTCAGACACTGAGCTGTAGAAGGAAAGGGCTTTATTCAGCTGGGAGCATTGGCGGACTCACGTCTCCAAAAACCGAGCTCCTCGAGTGAGCAATTCCTGTCCCTTTTAAGGGCTGACTACTCTAAGGGGGTCCACGTGAGAGGGTCATGATCGATTCAGCAAGCAGCGGGTACGTGAGTGGGGGCTGCATGCACCAGTCATCAGAACGGAACAGAACAGGACAGGGATTTTCACGATGTTTTTCCATACAATGTCTGAAATCTATAGATAATACAAGCAGTTAGGTTAGGGGTTGATTTTCAACTACCAGGCACAGGGCGCAGTGCTGGGCTATCTGCCCGTGGATTCCATTTCTGCCTTTTAGTTTTTACTTCTTCTTTCTTTGGAGGCAAAAATTGGGCATAAGACAATATGAGGGGTGGTCTCCTCCCTTACTATGATGTCTTGATGGCTATAAGGTCATTAGGAGATAGCAACTTTTTAGCTGTGTTATAATTTTAGGGGACCACTGTCTTATGTGAAGGTCATTGTTGACCAAAACTGCATAATGCAGTGCATGACAGCATTCTAGTAAAGAACTGCGACATGAATTTCAGAAAAAGGAAAAATCTCCACCACTCCTAACCTTAATTTTAGTACTTAGTTTTTATATGGTTTAATATCAATAATTTTTTAATAGTATAAATCCTGCTTCCACATACTGCTTTCTACTTGGTTAAATTTCCACAATTAAAATTTTAAAAAAATTTAAAACAATCTCACAATGTGTAGGAACTACTGTTTAAAGACATCTATTTTAATGAGCTATAAAGTCTTGGTTCTCGGCTGGGCTCATGCCTGTAATCCCAGCACTTTGGGAGGCCAAGGTGGGTGGATCATCTGAGTTCAGGAGTTCGAGACCAGCCTGGCCAACATGGCAAAACCTCATCTGTACTAAAAATACAAAAATTAGCTGGGCGTGGTGGTGGCCACCTGTAATCCCAGCTACTCAGGAGGCTGAGGCAGGAGAACTGCTTGAACCCGGGAGGCAGAAGGTGCAGTGAGCCGAGATCACACCACTGCACTGCAGCCTGGGCGACAACAGCGAAATTCCATCTCAAAATAAATAAATAAAATAAATAAATAAAGTCTTGATTCCCAAATGCTAGTTTATCCATCTGTCGACAAAAAGAGTCAAACTCTGTAAAATATTTTGAAGAGACTTATTCTGAGTCAAATATGAGTGATCATGGCCCGGGACATAGCCCTCAGGAGGTCCTGAGAACATGTGCCCAAGGTGGTTGGGGCACAGCTTGGTTTTATACATTTTAGGGAGGCATGAGACATCAATCAAATACATTTAAGAAACACATTGGTTTGGTCCAGAAAGACCTGGGACTGATAGAAAGGGAATGTTCAGTTTAAGATAAAGATTGTGGAGACCAAAGTTCTTTGGAAGTCTTATAGTGGCTGCCCTTAGAGACAATGGATGATCAATGTTTCCTATTCAGATCTTAGTTAATCTCTTTAGGATTGGGAGGGTCTGGAAGAAAAGGATCTAGCTATGTTAACAGAGATTCTTTACGGATGCATATCCCACCCCTCCAAGGACAGCTTTGCAGGGCCATTTCAAGATATGGCAAAGAAACATGTTTTGGGGTAAAATATTTTGATTTTCTTCCTTGTCTCGTAATGTTATGCCAGAGTCAGGTTGGAAAGTAAGTCACCATACATAGGGTTAAGTAAAACCCATCTGATAAGAATTTATGATTTGTAGGGCATGACTCCCCAAACCCCATAGACAGGAATTTGGGCAAGATAAAAAAATCAGAGTTTAGTCCTCTGACCTCTGCCAATTTCTCATGATATTTTTTGCTAGTCTAAAAGCTAACAACAGAAAGAACAACAGGATGAGCATTTTATACAAGTAAATGCATTCCATTTAAAAGATTTTTATTTATTGTGAAACTATGTCATTCTACCTTTTTAATGTTAAAAAGTTGTTTCGTGAAATGATGGTGATAGTACAGGGTGTTTGCTTGACAACTTTACATGATCTCAGATTTTCTGTGTTTTACTTTTACTGACCCTTCAAATCTAAGTGTTTGTAAACCCTTTTACAGTGTGCTACTATATCATTCAATATGTGTTTCGTAGAAAGCGCCCTGGGAGTTAACGGCCAGGAGCATGCAAGTTTCAGAAAGCAAGACATACTCATCTCTAACAATTGATCAGTTCTGATTGGCTTTCAAGTAAGGCTTAGTACCAACGCGTAGGGAGGGACGTGCAAAAACGAGAAAGGTAGTGTTTGACCTCACCGGTTTAAGGTTTATCCTGTACAGTTAAGAAACAACGCAGGAAAGTGCCAGTTTGACAGCTGCTGCAGGAGAGTCTTGACTTGGATCCAGAAGAACGTGGAAAGTTAGAGGAGGGGAAAACCCCTACTAGGATAAGACACACAGGAAGCAATGCTTGGAATCCATCTGGGGCCCCGGCCGCCCTGTCAAGGTGGAGGAAGAGCCCGCTCGAAATGCAGCAAGGGGGCTGGGAGGGAAGGGCTGGCTAAAGTGCCACGTGGAAGTGAGCGCCAAAGAGACTAGGAGAGCGTGGAAGTGAGTTCCAAAGAGACAGAATTCAGGACGTGAAGAGAAAACGGCCGCGATAAACTACCCACAAGCGCTCCTTCTTGAGGGCGACACCAGCCAGGGGTGGAGTCGGATACGGCCCGCGCACTCCATGCACCCAATCAGCGACTTGCCGTCTCCGGTCGCGGGACACGCCCCCCGATCCAAAGGCCCTAGAAGCTCTTGCTCAGGACAGCCTCTGGAGCCCCGCGCCCATTAGCGCCTGCGCCGTCTCTAGGCCCCGCCCCGTCACCCCTGTGGCCCTGGATCTCCCACAGCTAACATGGCGGCCCCCTGTGTGTCCTACGGCGGAGCAGTTTCCTACCGGTTTCTTCTCTGGGGTAGCGGTACCCTCGTCCGGAAGCAAAGCCTCTGGAAAACCGCGGCAGCTGAGTTGCAAACAAATGTCAGATCCCAGGTAAGGTCTGGGAGGACTGGAAGCGGTTTATCTCTGCCGCGCGAGGATGTGGAGCCAGCGCGGACACCCCCCAGCGTCTCGTGCCTTCAGGCAGGGTAGATATTTAGTGGAGATCTGAGGTTGGGGGTGGGGAGGTGGGTGTTGGCTTGCAGCGGCCGCTCTGGAGATTGTTACTTGTTTTTTCGCGGGTTGGAGCTAGGGGAACTTACCTGCAGGTGAAAGTGGAGCGACCTCTTCTTTCATTTGGCGGCTGAGCTAAAGGTCGGTGCCTAGGTCTGGTGTTGGGTCCAGTCCTACCCTGCCCTACTGTCCAGAGAGGAGGAGAGCCGCGCCAGAGAAGAATGATGGGAATTGGATTCCTGCAGGGTCCTGGAAGACAATGGAGAAAGTCACGTTCTGTAGAGGACAGTGACTTTTTAGAAGTGCCTTCACTCTGCGCAATTTCTGCCTTCTTAATTTTCCCGAATCTTTCTCTACGGAAGGATGCAGGCCAGAACTTGTACATTTCGTTTAATCCAGAGGGAAGTGGGGAGTCAACAGCTGGTAGGCTGATGATGCCAATTTACTGACATGCGATCTCAGAGGAGGAAAAAGATTTGAGAGGGAAGAAACGAGTTTAGTTTGGGATTATGTTTTAGGCATCTGGGATTTCCAGTAGGTCTATAAATAGGCAAGTCTATAGCTCAGGAGAAGAACTGATTTCGAAGTGCCCTGTTATTTTGTAGATGGTAATTGAGGCCTTGTAAACAAATTAAATTACCTAGGGAGAGTGTACTGAGAAGTAGGCAGAGGGACAGGGCCCTGAAGGACAAATAAGAAATAGGAGGCCCCAAGAGATTGAGAATGAGGGACCAAACAAGCAGGGGAGAAACCAGCCAGTGTGGTATCATGGAAAACAGGTGAATGTTTCAAGAAGGGAGAGTGATAACCAGTATCAATTATTGCAGGGAAATCAAATACTATGCTTTAAAAACTATATTGAAAAAAAAACCCATCTTTTTATATGTTCTTTGTTTTATATTTTAACCTAGATCAACCAATCCATTCTATCTATTCATGTGGATATTTGTTTTTACTTTTTTTCTTACTGGAAAATGTGCTAGAAATTTTTATTTTTTCATGCATCTCTTTGAGTATATCTTTGCTGTATACACATGATTATGAGAGGGACTGTGTCATACAGAGTATTTTTACTGTTGACATTTAATGTGTGTGTTGGGGGATGGCTGCCTTTCTGTCCCTCCTGGTATCTATTCTATGCTTTTTCCATGTTCTTATAATCGTGTATAAACATACATGCACAGGTTTACTTTACAAAAAATGGGACCATATTTGATTGCATTTTACTTTTTTGCTTTTCTCTTCTACATATGCAGTATATTGTAAAGTAGAAATCCTTCAGGGTCCCCTATTATGTTCTTAAAAGCATTTTTAACTGCTGCATACTATTCCATGATAAGAATATATAAAAGTTAATGTAACAATTGATGGACTTTTGCTTTGTTTCTACTTTCTTTGTACCAATAAAGTTTCAGTAAACATCTGGTGTAGTTGTTAAGTACTGGTTTAGTAAAATGGATGAAGAATGATTTCTCCTTGTTACTTTAATTTTCATCTCCTTGACCAGTCTTGAAACAACCCCTTTCTCCCATATGGCAGATGTTTACTGAGCACTTTACCTGAGCCAGGCACTGTGAAGTAAACAATTTAAAGTCGAACAATTACAAGACAGTATCCACCCTTAGCACTCTTAAGGGATGGTCCTGAAATGGCTGAATCCCCAGATTCCTGAATACTACTACAGCATGTATTTTACCACATGAAGTACAGCTCAGCTATAACTGAAACATTTAGCTGACTCCCCTTTAGATTCTTATGATTACATACATATACCTAAAGACGTTGAGAAAGATTTTTTTTTTATCCTGGCGCAGAGCTTATCTGTCTTAAATATTAACATTTTTTCACTTCTGCCTACAACATTAATAGATAGATTTCTCTTAGTAGCCCAAGAGAAGTTGTTTATTATTTTATAAAATAATAAAAACTTTAATCACTTAATGAGTGACAAAACACTATACCTGGTCTTTTGTTTGTTCAAAGTTTAATTTCCTTAATTAGAAAATCTCTTCAGAGGTTACAGCAAACTTGAAGGGTGTAGGAGAATAGAATAATAATAAAGTGCATTTCCTGCAGAGTATTTTTGCATTTTGTTTATATATGTAAATGTATACTAGGTGGTGATATAAACAGTAGATATTACTATGGGTCACAGTTTAAAAAGTTTGAGAAACACTGATTCAAAAAGGAAAAAGAGCGAGTTTTGTTAAGCTATTCCTGGGTTCTCAGTTGAGACCTTCACTAGCAGACTACCTCTTGCATACCAGTCTTGTGGTATGCATGTTTTGTGTTAATACCTCAGTACAATTGCAAATGTCTGAGTGTCCCAAATTTGGGGCGGAAGAGGCAGTCTTACTCATGAATGGCCAGACTTTTCAGATTATATATCCATGAATATCAGGGATCTACAGTGTATTGTGATATTTACAGAGGTATATACAGAAGAGCACAGAAATGATACGCCTGAGTCAGACTAGTGTTTTTGACTGGGTAGAGGATCGTCATGGGCAGCTTCCCCGAGGAAGCAAAGGAAAATAGCGTCTTGAGCAGCAATTAGAAGTTATATGAAAACAGAAAGCTATTCTCTTCAAGGAAGACATAATAGGTGCACAAGGCTATAGAGATGTACTGAGTGATAGTGGGTTTTGTCAGCAACAATTGGTTATAGCATAGGGTTTTGGTGAGAGAATGGTGAGAGACAGGACTGGAAAGTTTGGCAGGAATCAGTATGGTCTGTTTTGCTATGCTTAGGTAGCTGATTTTTTTACCTGTCACAAATGCAAATCGTGGTAGCATTATTATGAGCAGTTGACAGTTCCTTTCCATGCTGTACTACAAAGTTTACCCATGAATTCATAAATCCTCTATCAATATGGCTAATACAGGAATGCTAATATGGCTTCCTATAATATTTGTGATTTTTATAATAAGGAAAAGCAAAAGCAATTGCTATTTTGAGAAGTATTTCTACAAAACAATAGGATGCTTCTTAATTATTCTCTACTACTGAACACTTTCCTGGTGCTTAAACATTTAGTTTTTGCCAAGCCAAGATTCCTTTGTTGATTTAGACCATCTGCCAGAGAAGTGATCAATGACATTAAATGGCTTGGTCCTTTATATTTTGGTTTCACTGTAAACACATTTCTGTCTCTGTCTAAAGTATCTGGTTTTTTTGTTTTGTTTTGTTTTGTTTTTTCATCTGCCATGCTCCTGGAGGTTATAATAACCTGTATTTATCACAGCATTCTGTTGGTCTACTTTAGTAGGGGCTTCATAAATTTTTTTTGACAAATGGCTAAAAAACGCTTTGGAAAACAAATGGTATAATTGACTTGAATTTGTATCAGATGCTCTATACAGCTCTGTAAATTAGTTATGCCCCCACCCCTAATAATTTTTGAATATATTTATTTTGAATCCCAGTTAATTAGCAACGGAAAAGAAAAACACTTTGGTAGGATAAGCTATTGCCTTTGAGATCTAATCCTGTCCTTGTAAGCATAGAATTGAGTGTGTTCCTCATTGTTTTAATTACAAAAAATACCTCTACTTTAAAATTTACACTTTCCTTATTTGGCAATTTATAAGTTTCTTATTTAATAAGAGCTTGATAATAAATGCTACTGTCATTCCCACCTCTCTTTCCCTTATAAAACAAGATAAGTAAACTTTCTTGTACTATGCTTCGTTGTTGTAATTAGGATGATGAATATATCAGTTATTTATTGCTACATAACTAATTATCCTAAAACTTAGCAGCTTAACAAACAGACATTTGTTTTCTACAGTTTATGTGTGTCAGGGTTCTCCAGGCACACCTTGCTGGGTCCTCTTGTTCAGGATCTCTGGTAAGGCAACAGTCCAGGTATTGGCCGGGGCTGCAGTCATCTCAAGGCTCCACTGTGGGTGGGGAGAGTCTGCTTCTAGGCTCACTCAGTGTTGTCATTAGCAGGATTTAGATTCTTGCAGGCTGTCAGACTGAAGGCCCCAGGTCCTTGCTGCCTGTTGGCCAAAGCCCGCCCTCAGCTCCTGCCACATGCACCTCTAGGGCAGCTCAGCACATCTGGCTTCCCTCAGGCTGATGAAGAAAAGGTAAAGCAAGAGAGAAGAACAGCAGGCGGCAGATTCACTGGGAGCCATCTTGGAAGCTGCCTACAACAGTGGAAAACCCACGTATACTGCTTTTCTTGTTATCTCAGTGTCTCTCTCATGTATTTAGGTCTTTCCTCTACGGTTCTTATGTGCAGGCATGTATGGGTGCTTATGTGTGTGCACATGTGGGTACATCTGAGCACCTGCTGTGTCATTCTTTCTGTCAGATAGGATTATTAGTTTAAAGAAAACTGCATCTTTACTATGTTTTGTTTTCTTATCTCATTATGGCAACATTCTCATTTTAATATCACTCATTTCTTTACAATTATTTCTGTTAACACTTAATACAGAGCCTGGTCTATAATAATTGTTCAAATTTGTTAAATGAACTGGTAAAGTAGTTTATTTTTAGAATTTTATTCTGCAAAACCAAGCATATAAAAAATAGAATAATATAATGAACTCCACAGATCCGTCAACCAGCTTCAGCAATTATTAGTATTTTCCCAGTCTTGTTTTTATTTTTCCCCTCCCACCCCCCAGAGTCATTTAATGTAAACCCCAAATATTCTGTTATTTTACTTATAGGTAGTTGAATATGCACCTCTAACATAAAGGTTTAAAAAAAAAAAAAAAAAAAGATTCCTTGCCACCACCGTATCTTAACAGAATGAACAGTAGTTTCTTATCATCTGCTACCTATTTCATGTTCAAATTTCTCTGAATTGTCCCAACAGTAGCTTTTTATAGTTAGTTTATTTTAATTGGGTGTTAAACAGGGTTTTTGCGTTTTATTTGAGTGATAAGTATATTAAGTGTCTTAATTTATAACAGGTTGTGGAATTAACATAAATGGTAAATTTTGTTTAAGTAAGTGGATTTCCTTATTTACTTAACATAGTCTCCATTTCCCCTTCATAGTAGCATCCCAGTTTCCCCAGGAGGAATTAGTTCTTTTTCACTGGTTATAGTTGAGAAGATCTGGCTATAGTCCGCAATAATCTGGGGCACCTGACTCAAAGTAATCCTGTCAGATGTTCCTCCTCCTGAGATCCTGAGCGTACAGGCAGGACAGCTGGAATACCATTTTGTCTTAATGGACACATTCTGATTGAACTTGCATGGATAACTTTTAGTTGATAGAGATCCATTGGACCCTGCCTGCTTTTCTTTTCTTTTTTCTTTTTTAAATTTTTATTTATTTTTATTTTTTATTTTTTGA